TACTGTTCTATTTTGTTTTAGTTCAATTATTAAACTGTTTTATCTCAACCTTGTGCTCTCCCGATTCTCTCCCCCATCCCACCAGAGGGGGGGTGAGTGAGCGGCTGCGTGGGGTTAAACCACAACAGGGAGTCAAGTTCAACAGCATCTCCTTATCTCTGCAGATGTTCATCTGTCAAGCTGCAGAAAAATAATTTTCCCATTCCATGAAAAATGAAGATTTCCAGAATGTTCATGACCTCCCACCAGGACGAAAACCAAGAGCCTGAAAAAATATTTCTGGAAAAAAAAAAACAAACCAGAGAATAGTACTTTTTCCCCTTTCTATATTTCTCCATACCTCTCAGTGGTAAAGATGTTTGGATGCTCAGATCTAAATCCCTTCCTATGTTTGTATTTATGAAGAGAGATATTGATCCAACAATGAATCAATATGGCAATATGTATCTAACCCAGGTTACCAAAAAATCACAAGGAAGCATGCATGAGAATTAACACAAAGTAAGATCCAAGACATCTGACACTCAGTAGACACCGATGACAACCACATAAGCTAACAGACTCAAGAAACTTGAAAAGACAGCAAATATGTGGCCATTGCTCTGGCATAATAATACTAGATTTAGCTGAAGTTTGTTAGCTGCAACCTTATCATTTTCTGCCTAGTCGCACATTATGGAAACACCGAGTACAAAAGCAAGTGCAGTAATTCACAAGTTTTGGTTCCTCCATGAATTACCTACTGATCAGGGAGGTTGGACTATCTGTGCCCTTAGAATATATTTAGCAAAATCCTCCAGAGAGGAATTTAGAAAGTCTTAGGTTGAAAACCTGTTTTATGAAATATCCCCCTTCCTCAAACACAAAAATCCTGTGGCAGCAAGAATGCTTTGCAGTGCTGTGGTTTTACATAACAGCCTGCAAGGTCTACACAGTCATCTGTCAAAAAGGCTGTGTTTTGCTACTGGCAGAGGACATGGTTCCCGTAATATAAATTGATGCACTGATGCCATTAATCCCGTGAAAACCTGTCAACAGAAAACCAAAACCAAAAACAGCAAGATGTGCAGAGAGCCACCGTAATTCCTAGGGTTCAGTCTTGACGTCCATCTTCCAGTTGTTGCTGCTGCCTAGGACTTGCAGACCGTCTTCTTGGGAGACAGCAACAGTCACAGTGGCAGCTGCTATTTATTCACATTTCCTAAGAGCCCATCGTCCTGGGCCTGCCAGGACAGCTCTGCCTCCTACTTAGTCTTCTTGTGTTACGTTCAACCCTGGGGGTGTAGACCTCCAACACCCTGTTAGAGGTTGCACTAGTTAGACTAAATGCAAATTACTATTTCAGCATAATATCAGAGTTGTATAGGAATGATTACTGAAGACTTGTGAAGAGGAAAAAGACTTACATGAAGATTATGTTTGTGTCTGTAAGTTAGGTAATGCAGAAAACAAGGACATTGAATACTGCAGATGGATTTAAGAACCGAGACAGATGGTAACGTTCCTTTGCATTTGCAAAGTAGCTGTCATAATAGTAAGATAACTTCCTTTCTGCCACTTTTTATCTGCCTTGATCTGTAATATGTGAGCTCTCTGCAACACAGGCATTCTCCTACTACAACGGCCAGAGCTATGGGCTGGTCCTCGAGGAGCTGCTGTAGGCAGAGTGACAGCTCACTCTGTTCCCTGCTCCAGAGTCCCAGGTGCTGTGAAAGCACGAACCGCCAACTAATCAGAAGAAAAGGGCAGGGCTATTTATGAGCTGTCATAGCTTTGCAAATAGCTTCAGATAAGAAAGGAAAAGAAGTGTCCCTCCACAGGAAGTCAGCCCTTCAGACAATCAAGTCCTCACCTTTCTTACTCCCTCGTTACGATAACACGCTAGATCAGCTGAAGGATGCCTTCACGGAAACACCAGCAATATGGCCTATGGGTAATAAAGTCAGCTTACTCATAGGCAAAGCAGACGGCACGGTCATGATCACTGTTATTGTAGCCAAGAGTCTCTTCCCAGGTAATGGTGCAGGTTTCTGCCACTGCCACTGAAAGAGAGACCTAGAGCTGTCACTTCCCACCAGCGTCCATCGTTCCTCTGGTAGCAGCAGGAAAAGTCATCAGGTCACCACAGGGGCTGGGGGCTCCCTGGGGACTGGGAGCACCGGGGGCTTCCCCAGCGTGGCAGGGCCCCGCAGCCAGGGCCTGTCCCACCCCCCCAGCCAGGAGCAGGGCAGCCGGGGGGCACCAGGGCAGCCCCAGCCCCGGGCATCAGGCACCCCCCGGGGGACGGGGATGGGCTGAGGCCAGGCCAGGATGTGAGACCACGGGTAGGCCTGGCTTGGGGGGGCCATGGCTGGGCAGGGCAGGGCTGTGGGGAGCTGGAGACCGGCCCTGCTGCGGCGTCACTGGGACCGGAGCTGACAGCCCTGGGGGCTGACATGGGGTCCTGGGCCATGGGCAGGGTGGGGGAGCCCCAGGCAGCTGGGCAGGGCCCTGGTAACAGCAAGCTCACCCCACCATGGCTGTTCCTTTCCTTCCTAACCTGCTTGCCTCTCCTTTCAGCCATTCATCCTTAGCACTGAAAAATTCAGTTTCAGCTAAAAAGTCATCTCTTTTGCTGGTACTATCAGCAACTTAAATGGCTTAAGTGTCTCAACAGACACCAGCAAAAAGGGAAGACATGGTATTGAGCTAAACCTCAGCAATTTGTTCCAATGTAAATGATCACTTATTCTCCTGTTGTGTAACACTCTGCAGACTGCAGGCCAACAAATTATACAGTGAAAGGCACAGCATTTATTCAGCAAAATGGTCTATACATCATGACATCTGTGCAATGGTCTGAACTGAACACCAAAGAAGAGATGAGTTTTGATTTAACAAACACTTCAAGTATGTTTCATTGAACCAAAGTGGTGCAGTGAAACATGGACAGAAGAATTTTTTGAGAGCTTTCTGTGGTCTCTGAGCCTTGTTCTGGCATGGCTTAAATTCATAAACCTCTATGAAGAGGGATGAGTGTATACGTATCATTGTTCTGATCCATTTAGCAGCTTTAGCATGTGCTATGTCATGTGTCCTTTAGGAGGACACACAGATCGTTGCTTCTCTGGAAGGAGAAAGCATTGGAGGAAAGTAATCCAGAGGCAAAAGTCTGGATGGAAAAGCTGGAAACATCCCAACTGTTCCAGAATCAAAAGTCACTGATTAAAAAAGCTAGCCTGATGTGAGTACAGGGACAATAATTCTGTGTGCCCAAGAAGTGTCTCAGTTCGTTTTTCTCAACAGGAGGAAAATTGAAAACTGGGATTTCTCAGAACTTGTTTATTCCACCTCTGTTATTTCACCAGCATATCCATCAACTGGGTTACTATATGTACATATGTTGTTCTACTTACTGCCGTTCTTTCTTTTAGCAAATTAAAATCTATTACTGCAACTCCATTAGTCAACTCTGTTTTTCACCTACTGTACTGTACTGTTTTTTGTAGGTGGTTTTGCTCTTTCTCTCTTATTTATTCCTACTGCCCAGCTGGCATGGTGGAAACTCTAGGGAGGGAGCTCATTCTGCTGCCTCAGTTCAGCTAACACCATTCTTCTTCGCTTTAGAGATCCAGTATCTGCTACCGTGGATCTGCAGAGGCAAAGCTTGCCCTGTGAAAAGGGATCATGTGCCTCACAACTATGTATTCCTGAGATTGCAATACTAATAGTCCTCCTGGATTGCTGAGGGCTTTCAGCAATCTCAGGATAATTTTCAGTGATACTTTTAATTGAAACATCCAAAGCATTAAATAATTCCAGACTCTGTTTAAGGAGCTAAAGCAGAAGGAGACCACAGAACAGAGGAGTCAACAAATATTTTTCTGATTATCCCATTATGTTTAATTTGTCATTGGTAAGGGAAATTATAATAACTGCAACTACTTCGACAACTTATTTTTAAGTTAATTTGTCACATATTTCTCCATACAACAGTAGCAAAAGCTATTTTTTATTACTGCAACAGTTAACTCCTATGGCCGGACTCAGAGTAAACAATCTGGGGAAAACTCTCAGTGCATGTTCCCATTCATAAAGAAGTACTCAGCTCAAACAGGCTTAAACTGAAGTAAAGTCTTGAGAGGCAGTAGCCTGAGAAACAAAGTAAGAACATGCAAAGATGTTCACATTATGATTTCTCTGATATTGGAAAGCTGTTGGGCATGCAGGCTGTCTTTTACATGTTTAACTTATTCTGTATCTGAAATTTCTAATTCTGATAGAGACGGTGAGCCCTGAGGGTCATATGCAGGAAGAAAATGTAATTGCTTTTCCCTCAATTAGTCATCTCTGTCTAGCGTATTGCTTTCTGCAAATGTGATTATAAAACAAAAATTTGACTGAAGCGAGTATACAAACTTACAGTAAATCATTTTGTTTGCACACACTTTGAGTCACAAATTTCTTATCCAGCAATCTGAAACTTGATGATATTTTAGGCAAATGGAGATTTAGGGGCATTCTGATCTGTTCCTTTATTCGAGTTAATGAGATTATTTTAGATTTGTGTTACTGTAACGGATACCACCAAATAGCTCTTTTAAGGCTTTCATCCATTTCAGCAGCAGAACATTTTTATATTCTCCACTAGTTGTTCTTCTACATAATCTTGCAGGAGAAAGCGGCATCTGGAAATTCGGAGATGAAGCATGCAAATTTATGAAAGATGTAGCAGTTACTGAAGTGGCTTAAACTGCAGAAAGATGAATCAGCCACACAGCTCTCCTAATCCTGATTAATAGTTCGCTGATGAAATTTAGAAACAAATTGCTGCTGCTGACGCCCTTCTCTGAATTGTGTCCTGGGCATTAGTCATAGAACCAGAAAGCTACTAACCTCATCTGACAAGCTCCCCACACTGATACAAAAATGGAAGAAGTTTTTAAAGCATTGGTTGAGCTCCAAGATTAGCTGCCAGAAAACAAGTCTGGGAAACACAGCCCTATGGGATGTTTTCAAAATCTTTTGTCCTTTTATAGCAGAAAATTTGCTTTTATTTACTTGCCAGAGCAAAATCCCTTATGTTATAAAATCAGGGCTCTGTATTATTTGGAAATTCTAGCTGGGCTGGATTACCTGGTTACACAGGCAATCGGTCTCCAGTGCTGTTCAGTTAGTTTGACGGTAGAATGTGAATCTGTAAAACCCCTTTCCCTTGCACAGAACAGCAAGTTTCCCACTCTGATCAGGTATATGGCACTTTTCTTTAAATATTCCATGCTAAAGAAGTGCCAAGTTTCAGTTCCCTAAATATATATGATTGAGGAGAAAGCTATAAAATTTATTCAAATGCCCAATACTGGCAGAAACTTGTGAGGGTCACGCAGCTTAGGACATTACTAAAAGATTCGCAATAAGATAAATATTTATTGCTAAAAACAGCTCACATCGCTAAAGTATTGGTCATCTACAGACCAGACTGCATTTTACAAATAAACCACCTGGCATATGAGATATTTTCAGACAGCTGCATTGAATTGAAAGATGATAAGGAAACTGAGGCAGGAAGAAAAACAAACTTTAGACATCATAGTCATTGCATAACTGCCCTGTAGGCACTGTCATGATTCATTTACACAGCAACTACACACACACTGAGGAATTTAAACCCACTGCTCAAGTTGTATGGATGCCCATGGGATTGAATCTTGAGGGTTCAGATTAGCCTTTAGATGGTATTGGCTTAAATGGGAAGTCAGGAGGCTTTCTGCACTGAAGTGCTGTAGGTACAACAAAGTTTATCTGACCAGAACGTGCTGGGATGCACAGATTAAATATTGCTGTAGAGCAGCTCTCCATGCTGGCCAGCAATATGTTGTTCAAGCACCCTTAGAATTCACAAGAGACAGAATTTATCAGGAATCTGAAGAATTAATGATAGGATAGGAGAACCACATTAAGACAGGAACACAGAGAGTGCTAGGAATGCAGACTGGTCTGATGTCAGGAGCTGCAAAATCAGAAGAGAGGCTATAGTACAAAATGCAATTGTTTTAGGGCCCTACAGAAAGCTACAAGCGAAGGAAAAAAGTCAAGTGTAAGACAGAGGAAAGTTAGAGGAATTATCTTGCCTACTTAGAAGAACAGACAAATTCCAGAGGCCCTGCCTTGACCTCTGTGAGCCACCTGTCCCGCTTTCCCAATTTCAACAACCACCTGATACTCAGAGCAATAAAGTTAGGCCAACACAGATCACAATGCCCTCAGTGTTTCAGTAGATCAAGCTCTGAAACCACTTCTCTTGATTCCTATATAACTGATCTGCAGGGCTAAAGTCCAGCAATGCTTGGGACAGCCTGCTTAGCAAGACCTGAACATGCCTTTTCAATGTGCTAAGGAAATTTGATGTTTGGCTTTTTTTATAACTGCACCATAAAATTTTAATGACAAGTCTCCTCGAAGGAGACAAGGCTTCTACTAAGCAACCAAAGATTCTTCCCTTCTCCCTGAGACAGAAAGCATCTGCAAGAGTTGTACTCAACATCGCCAGATGAAGATGGTCTAGGAGCCTTACTTCCGAAACAGAAACAGGCCTGAGGCAGTGGTTTGTCATGGCATATGGCACACAGAGGCCACCCCTGCTTGCTCTATATACCTCTACAGATAAAACTGCATGCAGCAGGAGATGCTGCACCCTGTGGGCTAAGGTACCCAAACGTATTTCAGTCTATGGGAACTCACCATCAAACTCCTACAAGCTCCTTCCAGTCAAAACCACACTTCCCTTTCTTCAGCATGATGATGAAGGCAGAAGTGTTTTCCAAATAATTTGGGTGCTAATGAGGTCATACTGATGTCTCCAGACCCACTCAAGTTTCATGGAAATATTTGGGTTTGGATGTGCAGGAGGAACTTCAATATTTAGAGGGAAGGGGTACAGAACTGGCCTGGTGAAAAAGCATCAAAAAGCAGTGACAGTTGAAAACTTCCCAGCCCAGACCTCTCATGGGCAAATGGAGACGCAGTCTAACAACACACCGCAACAAATGGCAGTACATTCTGAAAGGTACAAGATCTTCCTGCCCCTCTCTCCAAGTTAGAATTCACTCAATGACCTTGCAGAACACCCTTTGAAAATATCTATTCAAAAGATACATTCAAGGCAATACAAGTCTGTGCCAGTCACAGTGATTAAGCCAAGGCATCCAGGTTGCTAATCATGGGACATTAGTTCCCATTCACAACAGAAAGAAAATAAACATTCACTATTAAATTAAATTCTCTTACTTTTTACAGCTAGACGCCCAAAGAAATCTAACACATTTTTGGTTCTTCTATCATAGCCCATTCAGATACTTACAGACAGTTAATGACATGCTAACACATAAAGTGGCATGTCTATGGCTTAAAGGTATCCTCATTTTTAAAAAAGCAGCATTTTGCTCTAATTGACCTTATCCAACAAACTTAATACTAGACTTAACTCAATCAAAGCAAAATAAAACTTGTAACCATGCTTTACTGCATGATAAACAATTTTTTATGAGAAGCTGTAGCCAATGGATTATACACCAAAATAAAGAACTCGATGGAACTCACATCAAAATATAGAATAAATTATTAGCCAGGCAAATGGTTAAGTTATTCTGATATGTGCTCATTCAAAAACACTTGTAACATAACCCTACCAAAAAACAAAAAGAAGAAATAATTTCTCTGCCAGAATCCAGAAAAGAAAAAAAGAAACACTGTGAAATGTATTCAGTTTTTCTCATAAACCAAAACCATGTTTGTGCAGATTTACAGACTACACATTTTAATTGTTTGCCCTAATGCTTCCTGTCAGTACTGAATTCATGAGGGCTCAAATTTGTCTTTCATTCTGCATTCTGTTGTTTGGTTCTTGGGACTGATAAGGGAGAAATACTTAGGGAAAACACAGATGCTGACATGTAACTGAATTTCTTCTAATGATGATTTTATCTGAGTTTTGGTAATTGTGATGTTCTAAAAAGGCATGCCCCCAACATGTTTGATTAGACATACCATTAGACAAACCAATCCTCATACTTTGTACACTGAATTGCATTAGGAAAAAACACGTGCTTTTTCCATACAGGCAAAATCCCTCCAAATGGTCTTGCAGTCTGTGAAAATACTGTTACAGCAGAACCAGTGAGACCTTTCTGCATTATGTTCAAGTCAGAAGAGAATGCCAGGCACCTCCAAAAGCTGTCTGGGCAGTGATAAGATTGCCCATGGCTTCTGAATGTCCACCTTCCATATTTTTCATACCTCAAGGTACTGGACACCAAAGCTGCAAGAAGACCCTCAAGATCTGAACAACTGACAGTTCTCTGTTCCAGCACAAGATAGTTAATTTGCTGATTTTTTGGCTTTGACTTGAGGCACCCAGGAAAATTAAAAGTTGTCATTAAAGGTCTGTGGAAACTTTTGATTATGTATTACTTACCAGTGCCAAAGCTTTCCTCTCCACAAAGCGAGCAACGTCCAGAGTCCATAAGATTGGAAAAATATCTCCATCCTGTTGGTGTCTCATACACAGGAACCTTCATTACTTTTGCCACTCTGGAAAAGACACAATAAAATACCACACGATTAAGACAGTGCTTTTTTTACATATGGCCTGAGATCAGTTGAGGAATATTCCAGGTCTTGCTACTTCTTCTGACAGCTGGACTATAAGTAAAAAAAAACCCAGAACAGATCAACAGCACCATTCAAAACTGATCCTTGTCTCAGAACCTGACTTCAGCCAGAACCCAGGTATGTTTATACGGTAAGTGTAGTATTTTGGAAAATGTAGGACCTCAGCTCAATAGGCTTTACCAGTATCTTTCTCTTGTTACTGAGGAAGAAAGTTATATCTAGAGATACACGGTTTTGTTATACTAGTATTTTAATGAAAGTTAAAGTATCATGTTGAAGTACCTTCCTTTACAAAACACAGGTGGCCAACACCGATATGCTTGAAAAACACTTCTACTTCTGTTCATCTGTTCAAAGCCAAGACAATACAGGAATGTTTGCATTAGGCAGCATCTCCTCTAAAAAAGCTTTCCCAGTCTCTATCTGAGTCTGAACTTACTTTCCCTGACTCCTCTGATGCACCTATATGAAATACTCCCACTAGCTGGCTGACCTGCCAGTATTTTCAGGAACCAAAATAAAGCACCATATAAGGTGGATCTGCTTTCCCTTCCCCAGGTTGTTAACTGGCAATTATTCCTGTTATACACTATAATGAAAAAATCCTTTCTTGGACTAAAAAACAAGAAAGAAGAAAAACACAAATCCTCTAAGGAACTCGCTACCAAGCTGGGATTTATGCAGAATGAGTATTATCATTCTTCTTGTTTCTAATTATATTTGCTTGTTTTCATTGTGTGCCTAGGATTTTCAGAGCCAACTGGTTTTTCATATGAAAAATAAGACTTGAGATACAGTCAAGCAATCTGACTGACTAAAAAGGATCTTACGATCTTCCTAAGATTGCTGCAGCAATCACATCTAACAAACATTTTCTAAATTCCACCCCCATAGAAGAATACTTGACGTGAGACTATTTATGTAATTTAACTGCGGTCAAGCCCAGGCAAAGCAGATCAATCAAAGCGGGGTCCAACGCACTTAACACAATCCATCTAGAAGTTACATGTCAAGGCAAAAGCAGTCAGCTCTCTGACCAACAGAGAGACACCTGTTTTCAGATGGTCCATCACTCTGTCTTAAAGTAGGTGTATAAGGTAGATGGGATGAACTCTCCAAATATGCAAATACTGACCCTTTCAAAACATAAATGTACCTAAATGACAGTTCAGCCCTTAAGTATTCTCTCTGAAATCTTTGAGTTGTTAATCAGCACTGGTATTAAGTCTCCAAATCCACTTTTTTTTTAATGTAATAAATATCCATCGCTACCTAAGTCTCCTCCTATTCAGTCTAGGCTGTTCATTTTTGTAGTTACATATTACATCTAAAAAGAGTGTTTTTTAAATGAGATAGAATAAGAATTTGAAAAGAGCTAACATGGTGCCTGGAGAAAAAAATATTATCAAAATGCTTAATCCTAAACTCGTTTTTCATGTCTCTAGTTTAGATGTAGAGGCAAGTGTATACCTCCTTGTGTTTATACAGCACTAGCTGTATTATTGACTGCGTAAGGGAGATTATAGAGTGCAGAGCTGAAGAGGTTTCTGGCTCGCTCTGCAAAAAATCAAGAACATAAAAGGATTTAATCTCTGTGTGACAGCAACTGCAAGCTGGGAACAGGACCGTACTGCCAAAAACTAGAAAACAATCAACCAGAAAACAATGGCTAACATGCTGGAAGAGCAAAGACAATTCTCTTGAGGTAGCCTGACAATATTTCTACTTGCAGAAATGTTCCCATATCCTGGTACTGTTTTTGGAGAAGGAAATCCTTTCACTTTTCTGTATTCCACTGGTCTGGGGACAAACAGCCTTGGATGGACCTATCTTGACCAGCACCAAAGGCTTCCAGGGGCTGTGATGGTTTTCAAAGATTTCTACGCACTAGGCTAGCACTGAAAATACAGATGTTGATTCTGTTGGCATTGGGCTTACTTTAAACCAAACCTTTCAAACAAACAAACAGCATACATATAAACATATACATACAAAGTTTATAGTGAAATGACAGTATGTTCCTTGCAATATTTTTTTGTTCTTGACTCTTGAGATTTTAACAGAGTAAATAAGTAAATAAGTAGAAGGACACTGAAAATTAAGCATACTCTTTTTTATTGCCATTTTACTGAACTAAAGAATCATCACTGGAGGTCTCAATAAATGCAGAATGGGCCTTTATACAGCCTATACTTATTTAAGGTGAACGATCACCCCAGGAAACATGTGAGGGGTTCCCACAGGAAAATGCAAAAAATTCTCAAAGCTGCAGACTCAGAGAAATAATGTGCTGCATCAGATCAAATTACAGGAAATAACAATGCAAACTACAGGAAAATACCCTCAGAGGAAGGAAACCAATATTCTGTAACTGGGAAATTACTAGACTTCAAAGCCAGGCAAAACAGATTAAATGCGGGAAGGGGGAGGGATTTTTAATGCTCCTACATCTACATCTTTCTAAACAAGAAATACGACTAGTATGACTTCAGTGCAGAGAAACTGGCGGGGGGGGAGGTATCTTCATTTACCAAAACTTTTTTTTTCACTTTACATTCACCAATCTGCTTTCTTGTAGACAAAATGATAAAATCAGAGTTTCAGTCACTGCTACACTAAGTAGCCAGTTATTTTTTTAAAAAAAGTGCCAGCTGAGACAGAACCACAATCCCTTGTGGACCAAAATTTGGAAATTAGTTTCTATATACCACTGCTACTACCAGCACTACCTAACACAGCATATGACTTCATGACAAGCTTGAAAGATACTACAGAAATATTTTATTCTGCTAGGCAAATAAATGCTTAGGATGAGGGTTTCTGGAACTTGTAATTCTGCAAGAACAATTGCTGGTGAGTCACGGTAAAGGTTTTTGTTTTTTCTGTAACAAACCACAGATCCATTAATTACAATATCTATGATGTTTTTAGCAATGTACCTTCACAGGGCAGTTCAAACAAGTCTATATATAATCAGCTTTTTAAGTTTCTCTTCTTTCTGTACTGTGGAGTGCCTAAATTTGGAGAGTTAAAAATGGAAAGTCAAGTGGTTACCATAAAGATTTTGTTGTCTATATGAGACCTCTTGGTCAGATAGGATACTACTTGTCTCAGAAAGTGAGTTCTGGAACTGGTACTGCAAAGAGTTTATATCTTGCAGGGTCTCACTCATCAGAGTAAATTTTGTATGTCCTGATATATAAGTATAATGCATCATCAACAAGATACTGATGCAGTGGTGCTCCTGTAATGGGCAATACCTCAGTCTCTGAGTTGCCTGGGTGAAGGTGTTAGCTGTCAAAAGGCCCGACTTGATGGATGGAATATACTTCCAGAGCAATTCAACATAAAAACTGGAAAAAAATATGACATATGAATAGGTTCATTTTCCTAGTCTGTTTGAAGTAAAAGCATTCTATTTATGTCTAACCACACAGCTGATATACCTATGTTTATATGTTCCATGAATATGAACTATGTAGAAGGAATACAACAAACCGTGGATATTCTGGTTCTTGTCACCTCAGACATTTAATGTGACTGACTTCAAACAGTATTCTTGCTTGCCTTCTTTCAGCTTAAGTGCTCACTACATCAATGAGATTACACAATAAAGTTACTTCTGTCTGTGTGTAGCACTAATTAGCTCTTGCTAGACTGGAAAACAGGTTATTTACACTTGGACCTAAACTGAAGGGCAATCACCTTACTTATTCTGCCCATATCAGAGCTAAGGGTATTTATGTTTCCAGTATGCCAAAATACTAATTAAGGAGAAAAAAAAAAAAATCAAAGAAAAGTGGACTGTACCTTTGGCAATTACATATATTATTTAAAACTATATTTTGTGAATTTAAAAAAAGCAGGAGCAGCTGTTTTTAAATGGGGAGACAATAAAGTGAGTTAAAATAAGAACACAAATTATTGTAAGGTTATATAGTTAAATCTACCCTCCTCCTGTATAACTTCATTCTCATTTTTACTTTGAACAGCCCTCACTACCTATACTGACTGTCCACTTTTTATTAAAACATAAGGAGAACACATACAATGCAACTATGACAAGCAGTTTGATTTACTTCATCACTAGAAAACAGAACTATTGGAGAGTTTAGTTCCAACACAGAACTGTTAAGCCAATTCTTAAACTCTACAGAAAGTCTCACCAAAGCATGAGCTGGCCAGTTCATAATAAAGGTAATAAAGAACATAATAATAATCTTCATAATGAAGATCAGAATTTTTGAAAATTTCCTGTCAGAAAAAAAAAATTAACAACTAATTCTAAAATTGCTCCTGAAAGCCTTAACAGACTAATGTGGAAAACGTACCTGTTCTGCCCCAGGCAACTGGACTACCTATCGTACAGCTGCACATCTGAATATCCCAGATCTTCTTCCTTATACTTCACAGCCATGTGCATGTCACCTAACTAGGAAAACAGAGGGTACAGGACTCTTGATAGCCCAAATGATTTTCCTTGGAATTACAGTAGAAATATTATCCTGCTTAAACTTTGTAAAAAGATAACTTTCCATTGAAAAAAAAAAAGTTCTTTTATTTAAAAGGGTTAAAGGAATACCCTTGTGATACCTTTCCTTCAGTTTACCACCCAGTGGAGACAACAGACAGTTTTTCACAGATAGGCACAGGTTTTGCACTGACAAAACTCCACTGACTTCAGCAGAATTACCCTGACTCACATTAACAAAAGTCAGAGGGAAGTTTGCTCCAACCTATTCTCTACAATGCCACATAAAGTCCTGATGAATACACATCATTCAGATACAACAAATGGCCTGTGGCAAGCTGACTTTCTTGTGCCCAGTGAAACTTTTATAACTTCTGAGAATAGATCAGTCAATCAAACAAAATTATCCTGCCAAAGTCGTGATGCCTGTTCACCACAAAGATAAAGG